ATTACTGATACCTGATAATTAACATTCTTCTTGACCAGTTGGTTCATTAAAAAAATAATTTTACCATCCAACTTTTGACCTCCTTCCTTTGTTAGAGCAGCCATAGTTAAACCTGCAATTGCAACACAGTTCTAATTCTGTCAATCTTCTGCCACCTGCTCAAATCTTTATTTACAACTATGGTGAAAGACCAGACTAAGATACAGTATTCTCAAGTGCCTTTTCTATTTATTTGAATGTTATAAGTTATATTTATGAATTACATTTATTATGATAGTTACCTACAACATTCCTTCGCAATTATTAATGCAAATAAACAAATAAATACGATCCCTTTCAGAGCCCATCAACAGTAACTTGATGGTCCATGGGCACTTTAAGAAAAGCTGTAATATTGTAATATTGTATACATTGACAGTTATGTAACAGTATAAAAATATCTGTGAACAACAGCAGTATACAGTGTAACAGTAAAATAACAGTATGTGTATTGTATACTAAGTAACAATTTCCATTTTGTATAGACTTGCTAACACGAACAACAGATCAGTTAGAATACTGTATAGACTCGCAAAAATAAACAATAGATCAGTTCAAACATTGTAAATTTGTAAAAATGAACAATAACACCTGAACTCACTGAACTGATTAATGAACTGATTGAAACTGATTAAACTTATTGAAAGATACTATGCCCAAGGCCATTGGAGTGACTTAATGCAAACACTTCTGTATGTAGTGGTAAAAGAAAAAATGATCTGCTCTGTCTCTAATGGTGTGCATTACATCAAGATCTTTATAAATTCGCTCGACTAACATGTCTTCCTGAGCACAAACAACAAAATCACACCACTCTAGCCCTGTCAAGAGCATCTGACCTTGAACTTGCCAGTAGTACTTGTGCTGCCTCCTGAGTTTCAAAGCACCACCGGACATTTTTAGATAGGGGCAGTCCACATAGCTCTGGATATTGGGGCATTTGACCTCAAGGAGACCAAATGGTGGGTTCCCAGAGGGATCAAAGATGACTCCATCAGGAGAGCTACCTAGCCATGGAGCATCAGGATGTACAATGAACCCGCAGGGTGCACAGTTCACGTTTTTAAGAGTGCAATACTCTTTAACAGCGAGTGGCTCCATATCAATACCTCTCCTCATGTTCGTCCATGTCATATCTTCTCATTAACTATCAGAATGGACCACTTGTCAAGGCATGGGCCCAGCGAGTCTACACAGTGTCATTCTTGTCTGTGTACTAAGTCTTTTAAAGTCTTTATTTGGCACATTGAAATGTTGTAAATATTCTGCTGTATATATGGTCTGGAAACTGTCTAATTTTCTTACTATGATTGCCTAATAGATTTTTTTGCTTGTTGCTTTTGTCTCATCTGGGATGTTTTTTGACTTGCCACATATAATTCTGTTAACTATCAGAATGGACCACTTGTCAAGGCATGGTTTGAAATATTGTAAATATTTTCTGCAAACTGTCTAATTTTCTTATTATGATGGCCTGATGTTTTTTTTGCTTGCCTTTTGACTTACCACAAATAGTTCGTATACCAACATTCTTTCATTACTGATACCTGATAATTAACATTCTTCTTGACCAGTTGGTTCATTAAAAATTAAATTTTACCATCCAACTTTTGACCTCCTTCCTTTGTTAGAGCAGCCATAGTTAAACCTGCAATTGCAACACAGTTCTAATTCTGTCAATCTTCTGCCACCTGCTCAATTCTTGGTGAAAGACAAGACTAAGATACAGTATTTTCAAGTGTCTTTTCTATTTATTTGAATGTTGAGTCATAAGTTATATTTATGAATTACATTTATTATGATAGTTACCTACAACATTCCTTCGGAATTATTAAAGCAAGCAAATAAATAAATACGTACACAAAATCCCTTTCAGAGCCCATCAACAGTAACTTGATGGTCCATGGGCACTTTAAGAAAAGCTGTACTATTGTGTGCTAGTCTACATTGACAGTTATGTAACAGTATAAAAATATCTGTGAACAACAGCAGTATACAGTGTAACGGTAAAACAATAACAGTATGTGTACTGTATACTAAGTAACAATTTCCATTTTGTATAGACTTGCTAACATGAACAACAGATCAGTTAGAATACTCTACAGACTCGCAAAAATGAACAGTATATCAGTTCAGATATTGTATAGATTTGTAAAAATGAACAATAACACCTGAACTCACTGAACTGATTAAAACTGATTAATGAACTGATTGAAACTGATTAACTTCCTGTTTGTTGCTGCCATGTGTTTTGAGTTTGAGCTCCGTCAAGTTAATTCTTTATTGTCTGCTTTTTATCTTAAAATCAATTTTATGCACCATAATTTTCGTTTCTATAATGTGTGAATATATCCCCGACCGTATTCTACAACAAAAACAATCAGAGCGCCTTGTTATCACTAGTTTTATTTTGATTTCCCGAGTCCGCTATTAGCAAATAGCCCGCTAATCTCGCTAACGTTGCTAATAGGGGAAGTCGTGGCCTAATGGTTAGAGAGTCGGACTCATAACCCAAAGGTTGTGGGTTCGAGTCTTGTACCGGCAGGGATTGTAGGTGGGTGGGAGTGAATGTACAGCGCTCTCTCCCACCTTCAATACCACGACTGAGGTGCCCTTGAGCAAGGCACCGAACCCCCAACTGCTCCCCGGGCGCCGCAGCATAAATGGCTGCCCACTGCTCCGGTTGTGTGTTCACGGTTTGTGTGTGTGCCCTTTGGATGGGTAAATGCAGAGCACTAATTCCGAGTATGGGTCACCATACTTGGCCACATATCACTTCACTAATACTCTATTCACACACATTACCATTGTTTTACTCACTGTTACTTGCTTTAATGGCGAATGTGTGTCTACCTTTGAGTTCAGGTGAGGACACGTTCAAGCTGCATTCGGTGCAGCTCGAGCTGGAGGCCGTGGAGAAGCAGATCCGCGACCTGGTGGAGAGGCAGACCCAGCTGAGAGAGCGGAGAGCCGTGCTGGAATCATCCCCGGCTGATGCTCACAAGTCCGAGGTAAGTTTACAGCCCGCTGCTAACTCTCCCACCACCTCTACTCCGTGTGTTTCTCTGCACAGAACCTGGGTTAGCTGAAGGTAAAGTGCACACTCACTGTTTCCCTGGTGCTTGTGTTCTCGATGTTTCTGCACAGATACCCGCGATCCTGAAGGGGACGAGAGCACCGGAGCGGTCGTGCTTCATGCGGGGGTTAACGACACCAAGCTGCGGCAGACGGAGACACTGAAGAGGGACTTCAGGAGCCTGATTGAGACGATACGCCGCACATCACCCGCGACGACGATCATCGTGTCAGGACCGCTTCACATGTATCGACGAGGACACTAAACGTTCAGTAGACTTTTTGCTTTAAATGAATGGTTATTGTCATGGTGTAAAGAACTGAAACTGCTCTTTGTTAATAATTGGAATTTTTTCTAGGAGCGTCCTAGGCTTTTTCGCGCTGATGGCCTGCACCCCAGCAGAGTCGGAGCACAACTCCTTTTGGACAACATCTCGTACCATATGACTAGTAAGTCAAATCTCAAACTGCCCTGATGATTTTTGTTCTACCCGCTTAAATGATAGAAGTACTTGCACTGTACAATCTATAAAGACTGTGTCTGTTCCCCAAATAGTGAGGTCAAAATATAAATTTAATGCAGGATCTAGAAAAAATCTGATCGTGATTAAACCAGAAAAATGTCAAATAAATGAACAAAAAATATTTTTAAAGTTTGGGCTCCTAAACATTAGATCACTCGCACCCAAAGCAGTTATTGTAAATGAAATGATCACAGATAATAGTTTTGATGTACTCTGCTTGACTGAAACCTGGCTAAAACCAAATGATTATATTGGTCTGAATGAGTCTACTCCACCAAGCTACTGTTATAAGCATGAGCCCCATCAGACTGGTCGTGGCGGCGGTGTTGCAACAATATATAGTGATATTCTCTATGTTACTCAGAAGACAGAATACAGGTTTAACTCATTCAAAATAATTATGCTTATTATTACACTGTCAGATATGCAAAAGAAATCTATCGTATCTCTTGCTCTGGCTACTGTGTATAGACCACCAGGGCCATATACAGATTTCCTAAAAGAATTTACAGATTTCCTCTCAGAACTATTGGTTACTGTTGATACAGCAGTATACAGTGTAACAGTAAAATAACAGTATGTGTATTGTATACTAAGTAACAATTTCCATTTTGTATAGACTTGCTAACACGAACAACAGATCAGTTAGAATACTGTATAGACTCGCAAAAATAAACAATAGATCAGTTCAAACATTGTAAATTTGTAAAAATGAACAATAACACCTGAACTCACTGAACTGATTAATGAACTGATTGAAACTGATTAAACTTATTGAAAGATACTATGCCCAAGGCCATTGGAGTGACTTAATGCAAACACTTCTGTATGTAGTGGTAAAAGAAAAAATGATCTGCTCTGTCTCTAATGGTGTGCATTACATCAAGATCTTTATAAATTCGCTCGACTAACATGTCTTCCTGAGCACAAACAACAAAATCACACCACTCTAGCCCTGTCAAGAGCATCTGACCTTGAACTTGCCAGTAGTACTTGTGCTGCCTCCTGAGTTTCAAAGCACCACCGGACATTTTTAGATAGGGGCAGTCCACATAGCTCTGGATATTGGGGCATTTGACCTCAAGGAGACCAAATGGTGGGTTCCCAGAGGGATCAAAGATGACTCCATCAGGAGAGCTACCTAGCCATGGAGCATCAGGATGTACAATGAACCCGCAGGGTGCACAGTTCACGTTTTTAAGAGTGCAATACTCTTTAACAGCGGACCTTACAATATCAATACCTCTCCTCATGTCTATGGTCTGACCAGTCCCCCTGAGAATTCTCTCAGCCAGATTCTCTGCAGATGTCCACAAACATGGCATACCTCGTGGAAGCAAGTAGATGTCACTCTCATCTTTCTCAAACGACCTCTGCCCTTGTGTTGCAGCTGCAGTGGGCCATGTTGAATGACACCTCCAGAGACTTCAGGTGCAGATGTTCCTGCTCTGATAGAACATAGGCACAGGATGGTGTTTCGAGCCTGTAGCTGTGGATGGGAAGGGAGGGTGAGGCAGGGGCAGATGGGATGTTGATGACTTCCCTCATTGCTGGTGGTTTATGCTGAAATGACAGCATGCTCCTTGCCTGGACAGCTCCAAAAGCAGACTGGACTAACGGGACATCAGCTGACATGCCCATTGTTGTTACCAAGGGTGCAAGTGAAGGGGGAAAGTCTTTGTACACCTCTGATACTCTCAACATGGCAAGATCCGGCAGTTCCCCATCTAGCGCCTTGTAGAGAGAACTTCTGAAATATATTACCAGTAAAAAAATAGTATTAAAGTAAAAATCACTACACCAAACTTCTGCCACAACATACATAAAACCACACCGAGATACAAAGTAAAGATAATCTCACCTTACACAGTCTGTTGTTGAGTTTCTGGGTTTTCTAAACTCCATTTCTTCAACTGGGCCTGGCCTAACACCCTAACATTAGAGACACATTCAACATGGCATCACAATAGCTACAATATGCACAGTAATAGTACAGTTCACATGTTACATGACTTACCAGTGTCCTTGGTTTATGCCAGATCTGCTCTGTGTCTGTGCAGCTGTGCACCAGGGGAACAGCAGGAATGTTTAGCTGTGAATAATGGGCAGTCTGATAAAGAAGTGCAACCAAATGATTGCATAAGGCACAGCCCGCCACACAGGAACAATGGCTGCTCACCAAAACAACAGGTTTTGAGTGCTTTAACACCATCTAGGGAGAAATAGAAGCTTAGATGAGATATTGCTTGACAGATAAAGCATTAACAAGAAAAATAATGCTGTATTCTGAGGCTCACAGACAAAATATGAAAATGTATTAATTTTTAACAATATGATACAGGCCTATTTTGCTTGGCTAATGTTACTTTTATTAAGCTGACAGGCAATTTATCAGCTTGCCTAACAATAACCCTACTCTCAAGTTGTGTGGCTTTTCACCTTTCTTCATGGATCTATGACAGACTGCCCTCACGCTGACCTCTCCTGTCACCTTGTCTTTCATTGACACTGTGAGGAAGGACGACGAACACACAATTTGAGACTGTAACGTTACATTTTTACACAGTATCTTGACAGTATCTCTATAAAAGAAAACTCACACAAACTCACAATCGAAAGTTAGCTGACAAGCCTGTCAGTCATAGTCGAACAAAACAGCTAACTTTAACGTTAGCCATCTAATCGTTCACTTAACATTAACGCTAACGTTAGCTGCTACAATAACATTTCAACATAACGGCTTACCCTCATAATTATTGATGTAGCTGGCCATATAAATCTTAAATCCCTTTTCCCGTTTGCTGGAGGGAGTGGGGCATGACTTCTTGACAAGTCGGTCCACATCATTGATAGTCAGACGAGGTAGGTCTTGAAGACAGCAAGTGTAAAAGAGAGCCATGTTTGCCTGTTGTCGGTCTGTCTGTCGGTCAAGTGAATTAGAATTTCGCGGTCATTGTAACAGGAAGTTTGTTAGCCGGTATAAGCCAATCTGGAATTATGACGTGCATTGAGCGCATAGGAACGTGACATAATTTTGGTCTAGAATCGAAGTACTACATGTCTGCCATCTAGTGGTAGGTAATACAAATAATATATTTCACCATATTAGGAACTACAGTCTATTTTATTAAGGATGACGTCTTGTCACAATTTTGCGACTTTGGCGCTTAGAGGGTTAATATGTACTGGTAATAGGGCTGTGCAAATAATTGAATGCGATTTTCATGCGCTTCTCGTCAGTAAAGCCGGTTCTGTGATTAGTAGTAAATCTCCAGCACGTGATTTTACATGGAGCAGCATTTACTACACAGCGCTGTAGTTCACTGACAAGTTACGCAATATTGCATTCATAATTGCAGGCGATTCATTGCCGACAATGAACGCGATATTGCATAGCTTGTCAGTGAACTATCAATTTACTACACAACTATGTGTAGTAAATGCCGCTCCATCTGAAAGCATGTGCTGGAGATTTACTACTAATCACAGAAACGGCTTTACTGATGAGATGCGGATGAAAATCACATTTTATTATTTGCACAGCCCTAACTGGTAATATAGTTTGACATAATTATTTCACAAATGCTTATAGATCATTACAAGTTTTGGTAACACTTTACAACAAGGTCTCATTTGTTAACATTAGTTAATGCATTAGTTCATAACATGAACTAACAATGAACAATATATTTTTACTTTGTTTACTTTGTTAATGTTAGTTAATAAAAAATATTCTTGTTCATGTTAATTCACAGTGCATTAACTAATGTTAACAGATACAACTTTAAATTTTAATAATGTATTAGTTGTAAACTTAATATAAACTAATATCAATAATTGCTATATAATTATTGTCATGTTAACTAATATAGTTAATGTTAACAACTGAAACCTTATTGTGAAGTGTTGCCAAAGTTTTATATATTGTTGTGTGTGTGTGTGTGTGTGACACACTCTTGATTTTATAGTGTAACCCTTTCATTGCTTTATCCCTTAAAACCAGACTGCCAGAGGTTTAGAGTAAATGCATGTGCCCGCTGTGCTCCGTTTTCCTGATGCCACCGGGGTGGCGATTGCGCTGATGTTTTGGGCCCGTTATCACTGCTTGCAACTATATTGTTATCCTTATTTCTGCATAATTTCACTCTTAATATAGCCTTAAAGGTGCAGTGTGTAAATTGTAGCGGCATCTAGCGGTGAGGCTGCAAATTGCAACCAACGGCTCAGTCCCCCGCTCACCCCTCCCTTTAGAGAAGCTACGGTGGCCGATACAGGACTAAGATGTCATCGGTAAAGACAGCGGAGAGCAATAAGATTTCTTTAGAAAGGTAAATTAAGGAATTATATTTACTTAATTATTTAATAAATCAATGTTATTGCGAATATTAATGTACTTGTTCATCATTGTGTCAGTGTTTTATTAGCAAGAACAACAATGTGACGAAACGCACTGTGTGCTACATGTTTGGCCTTTCCTTTTGTTTGGACTATGGACATGCGGATTACCCCTCCTGCCACAGGGAAGGAGCGAGTGGCTCGAAACCGGGCTCTGGTGGCTCTGAGGCAGCAGGGAATGGAGTTTGGAGGTTTTGCCCAGATATTTTGGATGTTTTCGGTGGGGCTGAATTATAATGAGGCTGCACTTAAGGACTTCTTTAATGTCTGTTTTGATGATCCTTTGCCCCAGTGGGAAATGGAGGGACTCAGGATCATGGATTTCTGGGGCTTCGTCAAGTATCTCCATAGTCGAAGTAAGTGGGCAATACCAGGCCAATCAGAACCCTTCCGCAGGGATTTTCACACCACCTCTACCCTTCAGACTCCCACTGAGTGGCGGAGGGTGAGAAGGAGGAGGACAGTAGAGCCCGCTCCACTCCGGGAGCTCACAGAGTCCACTCCAGAGCCCGCTCCAGTCCGGGAGCTCATGGAGTCCACTCCAGAGCCCGCTCCAGTCCGGGAGCTCACGGAGCCCACTCCAGAGCCCGCTTCAGTCCGGGAGCTCACGGAGCCCACTCCAGAGCCCGCTCCAGTCCGGGAGCTCACGGAGTCCACTCCAGGACATGCTAAAGTCCGGGAGCTCACAAGGTCCAATTTGGAGCCTGCTCCAGTCCAGGAGTTCACGGAATCCACTCCAGGACATGCTCCAGTCCAGGAGCTCACAAGGTCCAATTCTGAGCCCGCTCCAGTCCAGGAGTTCACGGAGCCAACTCCAGGACATGCTCCAGTCCAGGAGCTCACAAGGTCCAATTCTGAGCCTGCTCCAGTTCAGGAGTTTACGGAATCCACTCCAGGACATGCTCGAGTTCAGGAGCTCTTAGACCCCATTTATGAACTCGCTTCAGTCCGGGAGCCCTCTGAGTCCACTCCAGAGCCCGCTCCAATCCGGGAGCTCTTAGAGCCCATTTATGAACTCACTTCAGTCCGGGACCCCTCTGAGCCCACTTTAGAGCCTGCTCCAGTCCAGGAGTTCACGGAATCCACTCCAGGACATGCTCCAGTCCAGAAGCTCACAAGGTCCAATTCTGAGCCTGCTCCAGTTCAGGAGTTTACGGAATCCACTCCAGGACATGCTCGAGTTCAGGAGCTCTTAGACCCCATTTATGAACTCGCTTCAGTCCGGGAGCCCTCTGAGTCCACTCCAGAGCCCGCTCCAATCCGGGAGCTCTTAGAGCCCATTTATGAACTCACTTCAGTCCGGGACCCCTCTGAGCCCACTTTAGAGCCTGCTCCAGTCCAGGAGTTCACGGAGCCAACTCCAGGACATGCTCCAGTCCAGGAGCACACAAGGTCCAATTCTGAGCCTGCTCCAGTCCAGGAGTTCACGGAGTCCACTCCAGGACATGCTCCAGTCCAGGAGCTCACAAGGTCCAATTCGGAGCCTGCTCCAGTCCAGGAGTTCACGGAATCCACTCCAGGACATGCTCCAGTCCAGGAGCTCACAAGGTCCAATTCTGAGCCTGCTCCAGTTCAGGAGTTTACGTAATCCACTCCAGGACATGCTCGAGTTCAGGAGCTCTTAGACCCAATTTATGAACTCAGTTCAGTCTGGGAACCCTCTGAGTCCACTTTAAAGCCTGCTCCAGTCCAGGAGCTCATGGAGCCCACTCCAGGACCTGCTCCAGTCCAGGAGTTCTTAGAATCCATTAAGGAATTCACTCCAGTCTGTGAGCCCTCCGAGTTCATTGTGGAACACTTGCTCTGCCCGGTCATGGCCAAGGAGACCATTCCAGAGCAATCTGCCGGTCCTGTTGCAGCGGTTGAGGCTGGTACTAAACTCTCTCTGCTCTTGTTTACAGTTTGCCTTGGGTCCTTGAGGGGGTTCTCTATCACACCATTGCTGCCAGGCAGGATTCCGGCTTGGCTCTGGTTACCCGCTTGGGTTCCTGTTTGGCAGGAGCCTCACTGGCTCATTCCTCCGGCTCCATCCTGGCTATCTGCTGGGGTTCCTGTGTGGTAGGGGACACACACACACACACACACACACACACACACAGACCCACATACATAAACATTACAGGCTAAAAGAGACTTATCCCCATTTTAAAGAATATGACAGCATGTTACTAAAGCAAATCATTCATTTTAAACAACTATTCAACATAAGCTTAAGCTTAAGCTTAAACTTATTGAACTTATAAAACACATCATAGTAACAAACATTTTACTAAAGCAAAGCAAATCATTTATCATACATTTTAATCATGTATTCAACATTTATTTATGTTTATTGAACTTATTGAACACATTTTAAACAAGCATTTTAAACGAAAATTTTAGTTTTTCACTAACACATAAATGTCGTTTTCACAAAACCACTAACATGTACAACCATGTCAAAACATCTCCAGTGCACCAGTGATTATACATAACATACTTTATAAAAAAAATAAACATTTACTATAGTTTCATTTGACAATAAAAACGCTTTACATTATTCTGGGGCCAATGATGTTCATACCTTCGAGTAAAATGTTTACAAAATGTACATAAGTTGGAAAATTAAATCCTGCTTTGAGCACTTCTCACTAACAGAAGTGAAATGTCAGTCTGAGGCGGTCGTGCTGACACACACACGCGCGCGCGCACACACACACACACACACGTTTTTTATGTTTTCTGGGGATGCTCCAAAGGCGTAAGGATTTTGTACTGTACAAACACCTGCCCATCACACAAAAATCTCTGCATATGCTTACATTTTTAAAGGGGTCATATGATGCGATTTCCTTTCTCTTTGGAGTGTTACAAGCTGATTGTGCATAGATAAGATCCCTGA